GATTTCCTTAACATAAGATATAAGAAACCCAACATATATCACAAAAATGTCAGATGTAATTTCAAAGTACATGCAGAGAAACTATGAATGGAAAATCTTTGTCCCAGTTTCTTCGTTCTTGTTCAGAAACTGTTTGATGTTATTATTTTAGAAAATCAGACTGAGTTATTCTTGTGAGTGGACGCAATAATCTCCACATGACGTTTCGTATCAATGTTGATTCGCATCAGAGGAAGCAGATATTTATTGTAACAATTTCAATAGTTCGAATGCAGTAGTTTGTTCGCATCTAATTCTTGCGTATACTGTACGATTAGCTATGATAAATGCGGCAGAATTGGAACGAAATGACTGTTTTTCTTTACCTTTATTGAGGAATGTTGTGTTACGATTGAAAAGAACATCGACAAAAAGCTTGCAAATAGAATTAGTTACCAAGGACGATACAAACGATGATCAAAAGGAAAGTTTGGTAGGGAAGTCCAAATCTGCGAAAGGGGGGTCCATATCCGCCAGCGGATATAGACTGGGGGGTCCAAGTCCGCGAAGGGTCTAAATCCACTGTGACACCGGCGCAAAATGTCCGTGATTTCTGGTAATGACCTCTATTAGCTTTAGAAGTGTTTTAGCAGTTCCGTCAGTCGTGTTGGATGAGGCGGCCAATTTGGTCTTGTTAGTCGAGGTAGTCTGGTTAAATGGCTAATTTGGCGGGAGAAGCAAGATAATGGTCGAGCTAACTGCTGTCATCAACAGTGACCCTTGTGCATGTTATTAAGAGGAGCCATCGTGAATAATGTGTTTTTTTTTTTTTCAGTCTGGTTGGTTGATTTGTGGTGGTCGCCCAGTGCATTGACATGCAGCTGATTCTGTTGGATGTGGTAACCATGTTGTGCATCAAGTCCTTCTTCTCTGGGAAAGTCGATATTTGGCCACACATTTGATAGGGTCTAGTGCTAGAATCTTCTGAAAACTAAACCGAGCTGAATTTAATTTATTTTGCAAGTGTCTATTTTTTCCCCCAGATTTATACTCACAACCTTCTTTTATTTAGTTTTCAAACTGTACCTGTTCTGAATTATTGCAACACTTCATGGTTATCATTTAGTATGATTTTCATATCTGTAGTTTTTTTCTCTTGTTTAAATTGTTATTACCATTTCAGCTTCTACTCTCGTTTCATTCAAATGTCATGTTGCTTTTTACTCAAAATTTTCTTTAACTGTGCTGAATTTCATTCATTTTGCAAGTCGCAAGTGTTTCATGTTTTAATGTTTGATTTTAATTTCTATTTCTCAGATTTTTACTGACAACCTTTTAAAAATAAGCTTTCAAATTGTATCTCTTGTGAATTATTTCGGCAAGTCATGGTTATCATTTCAGGATTATTAGTCATGTCTTTTGGTGCTACTAGATTTCAGCACTACTTGTTTTTCTTCATAATTTTTCAAACGATAATTTGGAAATCGTCCTCGTTTTTTCCCTTGTTTATTGACAGTACATCTCTTTTGAGCACCATTTGAACTTTTGCTGTTTTGTTGCTAAATTACGCTGTTTTCAGCTTTTTTGCACTGGAGAGAGGTTTTGGTCTTTCTGCAGGTAATCAGGATGATTGTAACTTTATCTCACTCCAAAGAATGTTTTTGTT